TTATTTTATTTTATTTTATTTTATTTTATTTTATTTTATTTTTGAGGAAGATTAGTTCTGAGCTAACTACTGCCAATCCTCCTCTTTTTGCTGAGGAAGACTGGCCCTGAGCTAACATCCATGCCCATCTTACTCTACTTTATACATGGGATGCCTACCACAGCATGGCTTTTGCCAAGCGGTGCCATGTCCGCACCAGGGATGCGAAACAGCGAACCCCGGGCCGCTGAAGCAGAACATGCGAACTTAACCACTGCACCACCGGGCCAGCCCCTGGAAAAGATTTTTTTAAAGTTTTAGTGGGTGTTATGAATGGAAAGTCTCTGTAGAATTTCTGAGAGACTTCACTAAAGATGTATTGGATGTTAAACAAGTGTTCTATCGCATGATAGAACTGCATTGCTATCAGAAGCAGTTTGGCTTTATACAAACTACATAACCAAGTAGTACGTTTCTAATTTCCAGTCCTACATAAAATAATCATCAATTTCTCTCCTTTGTTTTCTGAAATTTTCTGCATCAGCTTATGCATTCTGTTATAAGCAACTGGAAACCCAAGCTGGTTTAAACCATTATAAGGATTTATTTGCTAACAGATCTGCAAGTCAGGAGGAAAGACAGAGACAACAGGATTGTCTGATTCAGTGTCTCAATAATGTTCTGAAGCATCTAGTTTATTTTTGCCTCTCCATCCTGCCATAGTTTCAGTGCGATGCTAAAACTGGTTTCCATCACGGATGTAATATTGCTGTGTTAATTGAGAATTTAAATCTATATACAGTACCACTCAAGAGAAAAAAAGTGTTTCTGCTTAGAATTTCGAGGAAGAATATTAAGATTTATCCTGAATGGCCCACTTAGATGACATGCCAAACCCAGGTCCAATGACGTGGCCCAGCCAAGATAATGAAATATGCTAATTGGCTTAAGATACTCTTAGTGCTAGGGGTCAACTTCCTCCCAAAGTACACCAAAGGGAAAGGATGATGAATGGAAATGCAGTTACTGCAAGCAAGGGAGAATGAGTGCAGATGCTAGGTAGGCAACTGACAACATCTGCTACAGTTACAGCTCAAGTTCGAATTTGTCTGATATCTTCAACAAGGTGATAACAATTTGCAAATTCACCAATTAATTTCTCATTTTTAAATTTAATTTCGGTAATCAACAGGAAATAGTTTTTCTTAAGCTCATAAATTAATGAGTAAGTGTTTAACTTTCTAAAAACATCCTTAAGGCAATGTACTAAAGTGAAATTTTTTAGGGTCAGAAACCTGAGTTAAATTTGCAGATCTATATTTTCTTAACTCTGTAATCTTGAGTGACTCACTAAACCTACCTGATCCACAAGTGTCTCGTTTGTGCATCATAAAGATCATCAGAATTCTCTTTCTTCAGAGCAAAAGTCTGTCAACACCTTGCTACCAGATATCTAATAATAGAGTTGGCATTTTGGGTAGAAGAGAAGAGCTAGACGCCTACGTGATAAAATTTACACCAAAATATATTCTATATTCCCCAGCTTTAGAAGGGAATACTATTCCCCATTCTTCCTATTTCCATGTGGTGAGATCACCACAAGAGCAATTCTTCTGTCCTCTTTCCTGCTTCACTCCTTTCACTCTTCCATGTGGATAAGGAGAGCATTAGATGATTGGTGGGCAACAGCCATTTATCCTTTTTTGATTGTGAAGAATTTATCAACTAAAAGTTTACAAAATTAACTTCATGAATTAGTGAAAATGTAGAGTAGGAAACTCCAAGGGCCTATCATTCTACAGAAACAGTGAAAATGAGCAAAAGAGCTCTCAAAATGAACTTTTGAGGAAACGCTGGAAAGTAGTTAAAAGTTTACAGCAACCAAGCAAACGCTGAATCAAGAAAAAGATGACTTAAACATGTTAGGAGAGCATTGTGGCTTTTTAACATACCCTCACCTCATGCTCCTCTCCAGTTTGATGGCAGTCCTGAAAACAGCATCCCAAATTCCGAGTAAATCCCCAACTTATGATGGTTCGACTTAACAATTTTTCAACTTTATGATGGTGGGAAATTGATGCACACTCAGTAGAAACTGTACTTTAAATTTTTATCTTTTCGCAAGCTAGTGATATGCGGCACAGTACTCTTTCATGATGCTGGGCAGTGGCAGTAAGCCACAGCTCCCAGTCGGCCACGCAATCACAAGTGTAAACAATCGATATGCTTACAACCATTCTGTATCCATACAACCATTCTGTTTTCCACTTTCAGTACAGTATTCAATAAATTACATGAGATAGTCAACATTTTATTGTAAAATAGACTCTGCGTT